CTCTTCCTTTTATATACTTCAAGTGTCCCAAATCTGTATGTTAAACATGCACATGAAGTTTTTATAGGATGAGGCTCATATCAATAAAGCAGTTTATGGATGCCTATATTAAAAGATTTTGGTTTTAAATACAGTGGAGATTTTATCAACACTTTTACACACACCTTTATGTCTTGCCTGATCTGATATTTTCAGGATGGAATAAACAATCCCCCCCAACCAAACAGTCGCTGGATCAGATCCCAGAAACACAATCTGTCACCGATGTACGCAACCACTCTTCAAAGTACTCGATTTGCCACACAAACCTTCTCAATGAAGCAAGAGACTTTAAACGGAGGAGCGGTGTGTGACCCACTCCTTTCCCTGAAGTATACTGTTGTTCTGAGAAGAGAAGAAGTGACTAGACAATTGTATCCTCCTGAAGAGGATTATTGATAGCTGAAGGTAGCAAGAATTGTGGAGGGAAGAGAATGTGAGAGCCCTGTGAGTATGGCCACCCTTCAAAGGAAAGCAACACTGCCACATGGAGAGGCATCCCCGAGCTATCTTGGATCTTTTTGGCACAGTTAGCAACACAAGTGTTAGATAATGTGGTGGCATGAGCTTTGGTAACCCAGAGTACATCCCCTTGGGTCCCTTGGAGGGTATACACACCTTGAACTAAAGCTGTAGCACCACAGGCTCCACCACAGAAGCTACCTAAACTAAAACTAGCTTGGATATGCCTATTCATGCTGGGGTTGCACCAAATCCTTGCAGCAGATGCATGCTGTAACACCATGCAGGGGAGGACTTAACGTTTTCTAACTGTCGAACCATTTGACCATGGGTTATAAGTTATAACAACTGGCTGGTTATTACTCTGTCACATGCAGCTGCATTTACTTATGTCCCTGCTCAGAGACATCTGGGATCGCAGAGCATCATATGCTGCAGCGGTCAGTTCATGAGGATAATTAAGAGCCAATCCTCTGCATTGCTGAACACCTCCTGCAAGGCGCTGATAAAGGCAGCAGGGATCAAGGGCACTCATTACTTTGCAGAAGGCATTCAGTACTTCACAGGATGAGCCACTTAACCAAAGAACCTTGGGATGCCCTCCGGGGGACAGAAAAGATCTTTCACTCAGCAGCACAACATTTGCTTCTGACAAATCACTGGGTTTAAATAAGGAGAGGTGAGGACTGAGTGTCCCAAGGCTCTGAAAGCATGTATTGGCATTGTTTCCAGGGCTCACGCTACCGGCAGTTTGCCCAAGTCAATATTACCATCACCGACGTGAGTTGCCTTGGATGTAGAGCACATTGCATTGTATAACCAGAGAGAACAATTTACTGAGTTAAGGATGCCAAAATACATAAAGTCTAAAAGCATAATACACTAATAGCAGCTAATCTCCAGGGGGAAAAAAAAAATCCAAGTTTGGATTTAAAGAAGAACAGTTTAGCTAGAGAGCACTCGCACTGTGCTGATGAGATTGAGACTTAAAGCAAAGGCGTGGGTTTTGGCAGACCGAGGTGGACCACAGGATGGAAAGGAGATCAGAGATCAACTGCACAATATTCCAGATGCCAGATTGCCACTTGGCATGACTGCCACGGGAGATCAATGAGTCACTCACAGCAGACTTCAGGCTCAACAGGGAATGAAGGCTTTGCAGCAGTGTCCCCTCGCCCTTCCTCTGATCTGGTGCAGAAGGATTAGAAAGTGCAGCTCAGAAAAGGACATATGCTTGCCAGGGTGGTGAAGGAGCTAGAGGTGAGGCTATTGGCGCTGCCTTCCCCACCAGTACAAAGGACAGAGAAACGGCCCTGCAGCACCTGTTCTTCATTGCATACAGCTGTCCACACTCAGGTGTAGGGCAGCACCCCTGGTTGTAAAGAGACTGGATGCGCAGCCATTATTATGTCTGAGAAGTAACAGCTGTCCTTACACATCCACACCCTTTAAGGTAGCACCAGTAACAATCCACTTGACTTGTACTTGCACCATAGCTCATGTCGCATAAAGATCTGTTGTTGTAATGAAAGCTGACAGGACCAGCCAAGTCAGGCTATATCAACATATCTTTCAATATTTCTGGGTTCAGCACTGACAAGCATACATCTAGAGCTTTTGATACCTATCGCTGAGAGTTCATGGGTCTCTACCTGGGATTCAATTTAAGGAGACACTCAAGTGTGCGCTGGAAAAACAAGAGACAGCGAGAGCTTGACCTCGCTGCTCTGTAAACATTCACAGATTAATTCCACTTTGGAGCTGTGCACTTCATAATTTTCCAGCTAGGACAAAAGAGCTGGCGACATGTCCACTCTTCTCTAGACAACTTTATTGAGGCTTAGCCATCTGTTCTGGCATGTGTTGTACTGCTTTGTGAGACTGTACATCAAAAAGGAAAGCAAACATTTGTCTGGCTTCTGCTGTTTCTCCTTTCAAATTTATAGGGGGGGGTGGAAAAATCCTGTCTGATATGAAGACCAGTACAGGTTCTGGTAGAGTCCCTATACCAGGAGGGATCTTAATAGAAAACATCTCAAAAATAGGCTGACCTGTTCATATTAAAGAGGGACTATCAATTTGCAAAGGACAATTTATTCATCTAATTTAGGCCTTCTTCCAATCTGTCAATTAGCTGAGAAGAGATGCAATGTTATGCTCCTATAGTCACTATTCAAAACTGTTCAGCTGATTTCTTTGCTAATACAGTGCATCATTTTATCCAACAAATGATCCCCCACTGACTTCTTTGGGACCACTTGTGGGACAGGATATTATAATCCAGTGTGTTTAAGCAGATTAGGATCTGGCTTTTAGTACACTGTACAAACACGCTGAATGTCTTCAGGCTATTGGCTGGCAGGATTGCTTTGAGCAAGCCTCATCCAGATTCATTGCCTAAGCTGTATCACATGGCATAACTCTTCTATGCTATCCACATTTCCAGTCAATCCCATTTCCTGAACAAAATTATTTCTGCTTGTGATTTCTAAACAATTGGGGCCTAAGTGTGACTCCACAATTTTCCTGTGTTCTCATTAGCTTTCAAGCACTTCTGGTCCCAAATGGGAACATAATGTGAGCAGCCTTTCATACACTGCTATTTATGCATTCTCACTGCTGGTTCCAGAACTACAAGGGTGAGAAGGATTCAGGAATAGGAAGTCAGAAATAGCTTTGGCTGCATTTGTTCGTGTCTGCAATGTCTCTGTTAAAACACAGAAGATCCAGGCATGTGCTCTAACCCTTTTACTCCCACTGCTGCTATTCAAGTGCCCAGACCTCCTTAGGAGTACAAAGCTGAAATATCCTTGAACCCCATTCCACCACTGTATAGTCATGATGGCACTAAGTGCAATCAAGGTAGGGGATATCTGAATGAATATCTTGCACCTTTCTCCTCGTCTCCTCCACAGACGCTTCTAATTAAACACCAGTTCCTCTATGGATGTGGAGGCAGGCCCAGAAGCTTTGCACCTGTGGCATCTTCAAGGGATGGGTTGGAAAGTTGGATTTCATAAAAAAAAGCAGAGGATCTTAGTGGAGGATCTTAGCTTTGCTTATCACTCTGGCAGCTCTACAGATCACCTGACACCTCTTGTCACTGTCTGCTTTTATTCTCCAAGGACAACCTGGGGCTTGCCCCCTAGATATAGAGCATACAGGTCTAGGAAGTCTACCCTGATCGTACTCTCTGCATTGTCAAAATTTGAACTATTTGTACATGAAGCTGCTTAAACACACACACACACACACACTTCAGCAAGTAGAAATATCCCATGTAATTAATTATTTAGCAGAGATGGCATTTTATTAAATAACCCATGTTTTCTTGTCTCCAAGAATCCTATTGAGATTAATGTTTTACATAAATACTAAAGTGAACCCTGCATTTGAGATTCCTATTCATTTTTAGTTGTTTTCCAATCCCTGAAGTTTTCTTATGTGAAACCTTATAAAGTATGTTATTCTAGGAGTGAGATTAGCATATCATAGAGCTGCATCTAGGATATTGATACCTACAGTGTTATAGTAAAACTTGGCAAAGAAGCATAGTAAGTTATAACTGGCAATGCAACTTGACAGCACTGTGAACTATAGTATGCATGGTATCATATAAATACATTTTTATTACAGTGCAATGTGACAAGGAACATACCGCAACTCTATTATCTATTGGCCCTTAGCACCTTATCAAAGTATATAAGCTAATCTGATCACCGCAAAAATATGCTTTTCTTTCTATGGATCTATCTGCGTAGGGACAATGTCAAAAGCTCAGCTGTACTTTTGGCTGGCCCTTCTCTTCTTTGTGCCTGGGGATTTGAATGCGTCACACAAGAAAAATAGCTGAAGACACTGGCATGAATACATTCCTTCAGTTCTTTGAGAAGGGTGGTTCTTTGGTTTGATGATGCATGCAGCAGTCACCTTTCAAAAAGATTTTTTTTTTATTACAAACAAACTTTGAAATCCTTTGACAGGTAATGGGTTCAAAAGGTAGGAGCAGCCTGATAGAGAATTCAACTTTCTACTTCAAAAAAGTTACAGTAATATTAATGGATGTGGCATAGGCACTTGCTTTAGGACTCGGCTAGCGTTGATCAGCTGCTCTCCAAGGTCCTGATCCAAAGCCCGCGTAAGTGAAAGCAGACTTCTTTTTGTGTGCACGTACACGCACTCTGGAGCCTGATCCAAAGGAACATCTAGGTTTTGTAGACTCGGGAATTAAAAAAAAAACAACACCTGCCATAATCTCTGAAACCAATGAGAGTCTCAAGGCAGCACCACCAGTCATGACGAAGCCCAGGATAAGATAGCAACATTTCACTAGCAAGCTCTGCTGAATCTTGGAAGTCTAGTACACACACCACAAATCACATGTGTTTGCTTCTTTGACGTTCAGTTTAAACAGGTATATGGATAACAAGATGAACCTGATGTATAACTGCAATGAGTCGGCAAAACAAGACTTCTGGAGGGAATATCTACCTACCTTAAAGAGTTATACTGTCAGCCAGCACCAAGATACCTGAAAGAAAGAAAGAAAGATGTGAACTACACCTTTACTGTGCCAAAAAGCAACATGTTCAAATGCACTGGTATTGTGAGCAACATTGTTTGTGGTGAAAAGGCTTTTCCAAATAGGAAAATAGCCTTCCATGTGCTACAGTGCTTTGTGCACACCATTTCTGTTGGAGACCAGAAAGAAAAATACCTTCTAGGCAACTTATTTGAGAAACTGCCTTCTGCAGATTCCCACCCCCTCCCCTCTTCCTCAGAAGTTGCTTGTAGTGACAACTTCTAGAGTGGGATACAAGACAAGAGGAATCAATTATTTGACTCAATGTACAAAGCCTTATGTTCAAAATACTGATGCTTGAGTATAGTACCTGAGTATAGTATTCAAGACCTCCTGGCTGTATTGGGAAGAGAGAGGTACTAGGAAAAACCAACAATGACTTAGGAGTTACAATTCATTCGTTAAGGGACTGATGTTTGTACCATTGGTACTAACTAATGGCTAGTGAACAAATCCTTAATAACTGTTAGTAGCAGCACGTTTCACACATTGAGGCAAGCTGGAGGACTCTGCACCATTTGACACATGCTCTAACTTGCCCTGCTGATAACCAGAGGATCTCTGCTTCCAGAGGTGTCAATCTGACATTTTTCACAAACTTAGCATTCACTTTAAAATAATTCAAGCTGCAGGGGCATCTCAGTTCTCACGTTGAGAAATCCCACAAACACAATAAATTATTCTTCTATAAAAGGTCAGGAACTTTTCCATCTGATTTGCAAATTGCCCAAGAGCACCCTGTGATGGTGACAACCAAATTACATTAATGCATATATCAAAATGAGTAGTCTGTCCTTCACTCCCTTCTAGTCTGCACAGCCAAATGCATTCATGCATATGTAAAAGTGTGCTCCAGAGTCTGCATTGTCTTCATTTTATTTAGGAAAAGGATCAATAGTACAAAAATTACTTTTCATATATTTATGCACAGCAGCACATCACAAATAGAAATGACTACATTGTTTGCAAGCCTAAGTTTTAAGGTTATAGATGTGGCAAGCTAATATTCAAAACTTAAAACCAGTTTTCCTAAGGTTTCCTGAGATGTAGCTATCTGAAAATTACCTTTTGTATTCTGACCCTCAGCGTGATAGTTTAGATTGCAGAAGAGGACAAATGGAGGACATCACAGTAAAAATCCACCTATTATGCTGCTACTAAAACAAGTGGATACACTGAATTACAGTATACAGTACTAAACAGGAACATTTTACTTGCCTGGACCTGTCTCAAAATTTTGTGAATGTCAAACCTTTAGCTGCAAGGACATCAAGACACAGAGACATTTTGCATAGCAAGCAGTAAAACACAGCAAATGTAACAATTTTCTATAGTTATCTACTGCTCAAATTTAAAAAAAACCCACCTTCCCTTAATTTCAGGAAATTCAAGAGAGAGCATTACAAAGTGAAATTGTAAGGCATGGAGCTAGCCTTAATAGAAAGCAAAACAGTCACTCAGAAATATAAAGAGTTAATACTCTTTACCATTCCTGTTTTGTATCTTGCAGAAAGTATTACATGAAATCCAGGATTCTTACCAAAGGTCTCCTACTTTCCTGTATTGATTTTCTATTTTAATCTCGACAAAGTGCTAGTGCATTAATTATCCTAGAAGCCTATGAGCTCTCTCAACACTATGTGCTGGGCCAGATAAATCATGAATGTGATCAGCAGAACAGTAGCCAGAAAGACTCTGGCCCTTTAGTTTGCTGACTCCCATTTTCATCTTCCCTTCATCACAAACATACATCAGGCTGCAAATCCATGTGCGTACTGACTGCGTCTACACATGCGCTTACTAAGGAGTACGCTAATTAGCTGCAAAGTAAAGCATCACTGTCTACACATGTGACAGTATTAGGCTGAAGTAAACTAATTTATGCCAACATTAAATAGTACTGTTGGGGAAAGTATCTTTTTATGCTGGGGTCATTTACTTCGATTAAATGCATGTGTAGATGCTAACCTCAGATGTAAATTGCACCCAGTCAGCCCAGCCAGCCGCGGGCCAGACTTATGCTTGTCATCTAGCCACACAGCTCTGCATTGTCACCACCCTTGTTCCCCAGCCAACCCCTCCACTGCCTCATGCCACCACTGGAGCCTGGGGCTGACCCCCTCTGTCCCGTCCCAGCCTGGGCCAGCTCCACCTCAGCTCTAATGGCTTCTGTCCTGGTTCATGTGTAGACGCTGGGCCTGAGAGTAGTTTACTCCAGCTCAAACTACTCCAGAGTTCATTGCTTCACTTTAATTGCATGTGTAGATGCACCCATTGTTGACAGTCCCATCACTTTCTATAGCCCTGACAATAAAGGTAGCAAGCATGGCCTGAAGAAGGTTCTTGACTCCCAAACAGGGGGTCACAACTCCACTTATGTCTAACAGTCCATGAGGCCAAAGTGATTAAAGCACAACAATTTCTATGGTTAGTGACGTGCAAGAAGTGACTAGTATTATGCCTCACCTCTTGACTATCCAGCCTGAACCAGCAGGCAGTTATCTACACACATGGGCTAATTATGGACAGCCTTCAGCACAAGCCCAGGGTGCAGCATGAAGTGAAGCAAGATGTTTTTGCTGCTCTGACACCAGGCTCCACAACCACAAAGCTCACGCTAAGATTGAGACAAATCAATTGATAGATGCAACACATATGCCGAAGGTAACAGGGTTCTGGACCAGGTAATACTTCTCCAGTTTGAATACTTAGAGCGTTTCTGGACTTTCACCAACAAACAGGTGCCAACAGCCTGCAGTCATCTTATCTAAGACGGAACTGGCCGGTGATGTGACATAATACAGTTCATTCAACCTAAACACTGAACAAGATTTCCTGCTTATGCAGTTATACCTGCTCACAAATAGAGATGAGGCAGCCCTATCTCAAAGTTGATTTATATCAGGGGTTCTGCAAAAAAGTTTGAGTCCCAATAATATTAAGCTCCTGTTCAAATGTTTTACCCCTACCTTACTTGTGAATATAGAGAGCTGGATGTACCAGTAGAATTACAAGCCATTTTAGTCATTTCTATAACAAATATAACATGTAACAAAACCTCAATGAATGTGAACTGAAGCCAGTGTTATCAAAGGAAGTGGGTGAATCCCTGGTTATTAATGCATGCAGCTTTCACTGGCTATTAATTAAACACATAATTATTTAATTACTATAATGGTTGTTAATACACTGTGCAGGACTAGCAACGCATATTTGGTTTTAGTAGGAAGACAATTGAGTCTTCTACTAATCGCGTGAAGTTATAGTTGGTAGTGAGGTTTAAAATCACATGGCATTTGAAAGCCAGAACAGATTGCTGGATTACATCTTGAAAAAATAAAGCAACAAAAGAGGTGTTTTACCCTTTGACACACTTTGCTATTGTATGTTTGTGGTGATGTAGGAAGCCTCTCACTATATTGTAATTTAATTTCCCTAGATTTCTCAGCTACATTCAACAGCATCAGTCTCCTTAAGCTTATATGATAACTCACACTGACCTGTACACTGTTTCAGCATAAACCAGGTCTCCTTCACATGGCACAGTAATTCCTGGCAGTTTAGTTCTAGCCACATAATGCACTATAACAAGTCTCCTTTACCCGTCACAGAAATGACTGCTCCTAAGTGCACGTCTTAATATTCTATTTTGAGAGTCTAATATTATATCCATTGTCTTCTCTGGTCTTTTGAAAAACAATGAGTCCCATTTCCCATTGCAGCCTGATGTGGTTTTTCATTTGTGCATCATCGTACAGTGAATGCATCTCAATTCTAAAGGAAGAGACAGCTTGTGCCACTCAGACTTGTAGCAAAGAGCAAAAGGAGGGATGTCTGGCCACAAGGTTAGCTTGCTGTTTTATGCTTTTCATAAATGGTCCATACATCGTTTTCAATGGAGTCAACAATTAAACCAGCTTCAGAGGCGGACGCCAGGGTTTCAAGACTGACGCTGTATTTTACTTGAAACAGTCACTGCATAAAATACAGAAACAATCCTGGCAGCAGAGATTGGAAACTTGGTTTTCCCATTGGCCTGGTCTCTTATGTTTTCTTTTTCTTTGTCGCAATGAATTGTGAATTCTTTTGTGCGCTGTGGTACATGTTCAACAAAAAGGCTGAAGAATGGCCCCTCCAACCAGCCTAGTCCATAGTCTGGTGTCTAGGACATCCTTCTGAGAGTTAAAAGATATAATTTTGCATTCTGTCAGGCAGGAGAGAATTAAGCGTGGGTTTGCCACAGTTGAGGGCTATAAGCACTAAAAAATTACATAAAGGGAGTCACCAGGACCAGCATCACCACCACTTGGCATTATATATGCATCCCAGTTCTTTCGGTGCATGTTGAGCATGTTCAAAAAGACCATCCGAATCATGCTCCTCAGGAGATGTTTCATGGGGGAACAGCTAGTTTCTGAAACCTCACTGAGCTTAGGTGACAGCTGGGTGGCAAATCCCTCAGTCCTGTCAATATTGGGACACCCGTAGGTTTGAGCATGGGCACAACTATGGACACATCAGGGGCCAAGAGGGAGGTGCCTCTGGGGTTACGTGGGATTCCCCAGGACCATAGCTGTGGAGGTAGGTGGAATTTAGGAGCCTAAGGGCTTTGGATCCTAAGTGCATCTTCCCTCTCATGCTGCCAGGAGAAGGATGTAGCCCCTGACTTGAGCTAGCTTACAAAGGTGTAAAAAGTTTTCTATAAGCCACAGTACTGAATTGGATCCATAGTCTCACAGGCCAACATTTTTAATATAGAAAGCCATCTGTTTTATATTCTGCCCAGTGAGGAAACAAAAAAAAATTAAACTAAACATTTTTTTTTAATTAATACCATTGGGTTAAATGTAATAATTAGCATATTATTTACCATGACTGGTAACCAGCTCAACCATTTCCCACAATCCGTGTTAGTGTTTCAGTTGCCCGTGAGACTGCTAGGTAGGCTA